AGCGGGTCCCACTACTGTTTCTAAAGAGTAAGTTATTATCCGAAACGTATTCTTGCTCTTCCTCACTGTCTTTCCATCTACGGTGTTCCCGAGCATCTCTTCTCTAAGCAGCTCACTTCGAAAATACTTTGTAAAGCCCCAAGCGGGAGTCTAGCCAGACGTGCACACACTGAATACCGCACCCTAGGTACACAGATATTGTATTTGCCCAAGCTCACTTGGTCTGCCTAGCTATGGTTCCTTCTGTGTATGCAGCTATTCAGAGCCAGACCACGGCCTGGGGAGGGGGCTCCTTACCTTGGCTTTTCCAGAGGGTGGTGTTCGCCGGGCCTCTGCAGGTTCCAAGTGTGGAGGAGCTGCCGAGCAGGGAGGGAAGGAAAAGACAGCGCCTGACCTCTCCGAGGTTTCGTCTTCAATGCAACGTGAGCTCTGCCCTCATCAAAGATGGCCGTCCCTTTTGACGTCAGCAGCTTTTAATAGCCGTCTCCTCGAGGGGCGGGGAGGAAGTGTATTGGGGGAGGGCTGGCGGAGGGTGCGGGTGGCAAGGGAGGAGCCGGGAGTGCGCGCTTGACTCAGCTCCACCGCGTTCGCCTGCAAACCTTTGTATTTCAGTCTTTCATAAACACCCGAATGGAGTGATTCTTAGGACTCCATTTTAACACTCAAGTCTTTTGCAAACACATTTATCTCGCGACTGGTTTTCTGTGTTGTGTGTGTGTGTGTGTGCATATGTGCGTATATATGTATATGTGTTGGCACGTATATATATGTATGTGAGAGTGCATACATGTATTTTTCATCCTATTCAGTTGAGTCACAGAAGGGGAGGGGATGGCAGAGGAGGAGTAGAAGGTACTGGTGGGAGGGGTGCGGGGAAATTTCAGTTGAGATTTGTTTTCTACGAAGAAGAGGGTCTGAAGGGGCATCCCTGTCCACCCTCACCAACTCCATATATGGCCAGGCTACGTGGGTTGCTATTTTTATGAGTGATTTCTTCATTTTATCTAAGCAGCTTCGAAGGCTTGGAGTTCGCATTAATGTGGTCAGTTGAGGCGAGAGACTCGAGCACGTTATTTTAAAGTACGTCAGAGCAATTATCTCAGAGAGAGATCAAATGAATCTGGGGGAGGGATGGGAAGATAATTAACCGGACCCGACTGGGTTTGCTAGAGCTCCAGGCTCCGGTGGAGAGTTGTTTGCCGAGGGCAAAATAGATGACGCGGTTTTCGGTTGTATTTGCAGTGGGCTCCTGGGGTTTTGTGTTGAGTGTCAGGAGCTGTCCCCAGAGGCACGTACTCCCCTTATGGAACGGTGCAGAAAATCCCGGGTGAAGGTGGGGGGCTTCGGGTTCAAGGATGGCTGGACGCGACGAAAAAAGTACGCAAACCCTGGGTACCAGTACAGGGAACCTGGGGGCCCGCTAGTGCTCAAATCAGGGCGTGAGCGAGAAAAGCTACTTGTGCCGGTCATATGAAGGTTGAAAAAAATAATCATAAAACAATAATCCTAATTATCCCCCTTGTGTATTGGGAGTCCAGGGAGGGCAGGTGGTGGTGGTGGTGGTGGTGGTGGTGGTGGTGGTGGTGGTGGTAGTGGTGGCAGTGGTGGCAGTGGTGGTGGTATGCAAATAGTTACGCGGTGGCAGCCTCTCTCGGATGATTCACAGGGGTTGGGGAGGCTGTCGCGGGGCTCTCCGCGGGG